CAGTAACCTCTTGGAACCAGCCTATGGTAGGGTTGTGGTGGGGTGGACGTGAACAACTGCTGTGCTGGGTAGACCAACAGAGCAGACTGTCCTTGGGTGCGCAGCAAGCAGGGGAGGCAAAGCTGGGATGTGTGACCTCTTGAAATGGTGTTTGGAGCTCAAGAGCTCATGCTCATGTTGTGTCTGGTAATAGATCTCTGGGTGTTATCTTCAGTGGGTGATGGTAGAGGGATGTAGCAATAAGAAGAGATGGCATGGAGGGAGGTGGTAACTGGCTGGATCCAGCCAGGCAGCATCTGGCACTGAATGGAGAGGATGTTGCTGGGGGTGAAACAAGCTCATTTTTTCCTTCTACTATGAAAAAGAAGCTTTATTTCATAGCCAAGCTTATAAATAGCACTGTTTGCTACAAAACACCTTTGTTTGAGTTCTCCTGGGGGGTTTGCTATTTTTTTTCCTTCTTAAAGGAGTTGACTTCTGAATGTTGCTTTTCTTCCTCTACTTTTGTGGTGCCTATTTAGAAGAGAACCTCTCTCGAATGCCAATTTGAGGTGGGCAGTAGTACAAACCCAAGCTTGCCCATAGCTACCTTTTCAATTATAAGGGAGAAGGACCCCACAGGGCTTGTCCTCTACTTACTTCTCTGCTTGTGGTTCCCAGAAACCCACTAAGGTCTCCTCCTTGATCTGTTGTCTTCTTTCTCCCAAAGTCTCTTCTGATGCACCAGGTAGATCCTACTGGGCTTCAGTTTTTAACAGCAATGTCTTGGCAGGTGTGTTTTTTTTTTTTTTGTCCCACCTGAGTTTCTGCAAGCAGCTCAAAGGAAGGTGCCCTCAGGTTCACTTTCTTCCAGCAGCCTTTCTTTAAAAAGTCAGTGACTGTCTTTAAGTCCTCTAGGATCCATTTGAACAGTCTCTGAGCAGCACTACTGTCCTATGGGCTTACTTACATAAATGCGTATTTTTTTCTTCTCTATGAATAGCAAAAGGACTGCAGCAGCTGAAGGATCTTAGCTAGTTGATGTTTTTGAGCTTTTAGCTCGTTATTTTCTGTGCTGAGAGGTCCCTGCTCCTTAGATTCTCTTCCCCATTACTATGTTCATCTTCTTTTCCTACTGCATTATCCCCTCATGTCTTTCTGCTCCCAAACCTTTCTGTCTCACCCTAACATCCCTCACTCAACACTATCTCATCAGCTTCCTAGTCACTTGAGCACAGGTAGTTTTTTCTCTCGTCTCCTGAGCTGCAGGACCTCTGAGCAGGCTGCCGAGTAAGAGGTTTTCTCTAAGTGACAGTTTGGGCTCTCACTAACTGCCTTAGGCTGTTTGACATTGATGCTGAACTTCACGCCCAGTGGTGCTCCCTTTCCCTCACTCATCACGGCAGCTCAGGCTGTGATGTGCTGCAAAGGCTCCGAAATAGGAGGTGGTGGAGATCTCCTGTTGCCTCTGGGCATCTGTTCTCCTGTCTGCAATGCTCTTGTGCCAGGGTCTGTCTCTGCAGAGCCCTTTTCTCTCAGGGAGGAAGGGCCAAATGTTCAGAAATGAGACCTGCCTTCCTCTAATTCCCTGTGGAAGCAGAGGTTCTCCATCACTGTGCACCAGGGTTGAGCTGCAGATGCAGCCTGGTGGGAAGCCCAGCAGATGTAGGACATAAGCCTCTCCTCTTTGCCTTGTGTGAGAGCTGCTCATTGTTCTGGGCTACTGTGGGATAAAGTGGGTTAAAGCACAGCCGCTTCTGAAGCGGTGTTCTCTGGTCAAATGCAGTTAATCTCCCAACTCTAATCAGTATTGTTTGTCTTGCCTCTGTATGCAGACTTGTTCATAGGTGTCCATCTATTTGTGCTACAGCAAGGTGCCACTTCATCACTCCGATAAGGTCATCTTTATCTGCCTTTAACGTTAAGCACTTTACATGTTTTAAGCTGCAGTCTGTTTGATTTCTTTTCCTATGTGAATGTTTCTCCATAATCCTGTCTTGCAGCATGTTGAATTATCCTGCAAAGCTGATCTAGGATCCACGTGTGATTACTGAGGTGTTTCCAAATTACCTCTTTTCAGCTTTTTCTTGTGAAACTGGAGGTCAGAGGGAGGAGAAATCTAAGCTTTAGATACCTGGGATTTTGCTTTCTTCTATTTTTCCTCTTGAAGTAAGGAAGAGGATACAAAACAGAGGATAAGACTAGCAGAGTGGAAACTTCACTGAGCCCTTCTGATAGCATCATCACAAAATTGGAAGTCTGCAAAGCAGTAAAAAGGGCTTTTATTCCCCCTCCCCTTCCCTCAAGTCTATTTCCAGTTAGGCTTGGGGAAATTGTGCTCAGCTCCATATCCTCTGTATGTGAAGAGAATGTAAAGAGCCCTGTATCCAATTTCCTATAGGGCTAAACATAGCAATCCTATATCAGCTGTGTAGGAACATCCCAGCATATGACAAAGTCCCTTGAGAGACAGAAATAGCTGGTCACCAGCTTTCTTGCTTATAAGCCTGGTGGTGATGGAGATGCAAAGGGGTGGCTGTAACGCTGGATAGGACAGTTGTCTCTGTGGATGGCTGGTGTCGGGAATTTGTTTTAATTAGCTCTCTTTCAGGACATCAGGCACCAGAAAGTTTACAACTGTCGTAATGTGGCCCCTGAAAATGAGACTACATAGGCTTAGCAGGATCCCCCAGAAAACAGCACCTTGTTAAATACACCAACTTGGATACTCACATGCTGAAGCAGGCTCTTGCTGATTATCAAGAAAACGATAAACCCAGCTGTACTTAAAAAAAAAAAAAAAGTAAAATGCATAGCAGAATTTGATTATTGCAAAGAAGCTGGTCTTCTGTGTGCTGCAACTTACTAGACTGACCTAGAAGGGTGTGAAATGATAATGCCCAATTATTTTTGCAGTGGAACTGCTGTGTGAGAGCAGGATGGATTAGGCTTCATGCTGTCCCTTTCCTGTGCCTCAGGTGAAGGGTTGTGTTTCCACCTAACTTTAGTGCACTGCTGCAGGGTGCAGTGCTTGTAGTAGAGAGGCTAAGGAGGTGTTTGCTCTTAGAGTTCAGTTTCTAAGACACCCTAGACAAGATGTGGAGCAATGCAAACCCCTTAATGTCATCTCATCTACCACAACTTCTGTTTCTAGGACTTCTCTTGCTCTTAAGCAGAGTACAATAAATTCAGGTTCCATCCTCCTCTAAACTGGACTTCTTCTGCGGGAAATTCCTCCTCTTTGCTGTGTCACCTCTCCCTGCCACATTACTGCATAGTGTTTGTCGTTGTCTCTTTCTAAACCAAGTGTTTATTTTCCTGACTCATGACCTGTGGATGTGGTATGTTAGGCATTTAAGCTTATGTACATATACAGAATAACCCTTAAACCCTCAGCGTGAGGCTGCTGGCTTTGGAGGGGTTTTATTTTATTTTATTTTTTCCTGACACTAGGCTCTGTCAGGCAGAAAACCTAGTGGTAGGTGCTCTCATACTTGGCTCCCTGCAGGAACCTCTGGAGGATGGCTGTGGTTGAGCAGCTTGCCTTCAGTTGACTGACCACCCCGATGCCGTTCGGTTAAAGCTCCTGGTGTGCTCCTTGGCTCCTCGGGGTCCGTACCGGCCCACCTCGAACACGGTGCTGATCCTCGCCATGGGTTTGGCAGCCAGCTCTCTGAGTTTCCGGGCGTCAAAGCGTGGCTTGTGTAGAAGTATGGGCAGGCGGCGGGGAAGGAAGAAGCTTGCTTCTTTCTGTGCTTTCTTCTCTTCTGCTTGCTGCTTCCTCTCCTTGTTGACCGTCATCTGGTATAAAATAGCATCCCACATCCTCATGGCCCTTGATTTAAATGGTCTGATGTCTCGACTGATGACTTCTTGAGAGCTGTCCTTCTTGTTCCCTTCCTCCTGCCCTGGCTTTTCTGTCTCTGGCTCGGGGAAGCTGGGTGTTTCTGGCTGCACCATCAAGTGCTTCCTGAGGCGATGCCAGCCATCGGCCCCAGGTCTTGCTGCTTCCCCTGATGCTGCTTCTGGCTCTGCTTTGAGGGGAGGGCTGGTGTTTGGTAAGCTGGGGGCTGGCTGGGGGTGCACGGCATGTTCTACCTTTGTGTCTGCAGTTGTGGCCCCTGTGCTGTCAGCTTGGGCTGGGCTTGCTGTTTCTGGGTGTGCTGGCCTCCAGGGAGTGCTGGGTGTTGATGGTTTTAAGCTCTCACTGTCTGCCTCAGGCAATTCAGGAGCTCTCTCTGATCCAGGTATTTCTGTGTTGCTTCCATGGGCTGTAACTTCATGGGAGTGGGCATCAGAGGTGCTGGGTTTGGGCAAGGGGGCTGTGGTGGACTCTTGAGGAGAGGCAGGCCTGGGAGTGTGGTGAGGGGGCTCTGCCTCTGCAGCAGCAGGAAGGGGGGGCTCCAGTGTGGGAGCCGGGGCCTTGCTGTCATCAAGCAGTGCAGGTATCTGCCCTGGAGATGGTTCAGATGCTGGAGGAGAAGACTTTTGTTCTTCACTGCTGGTGGTTGCTTGGGTCTGGCTTGTTGGTGTCTTGGCCCTGGGTGCCTTGACGCTGCGGAAGTAAGTGTGCACCTTGGTGACGTAGGTAACCTCCGGTGCCCTTTCTTCATGGGGCGTGCTGGAAGGAGGAGGCTGGGGGACAATGAGTATGGAAGGGTTGTCTGGGGCAGGAAGGTGGGCATCCGGGCCTCCGGGCTGCTGCGGGGTCTGGGGAGCACCTGGCCTGTGTAGAGGGGGCTCAGCTGGTGGGGTTGTGAATCTGAGGTGCTCGGTGATGCGCCTCTGCTCCGTGACCTTCAGGGCGAAAGGCTTGCCCCTCCGGATTGGGGAGGGGACGCGGTGATGGGTGACGGGCCTGACGGAGAGGTGGCTTGTGAGGCTGGTGCAGGCAGGAGCTGAAGCTTCGGGGGTCTCTGTGGGGGGAAGGCTGTCGTGCTCCAGGTCAGAGCTGGCCTCGTTCACGGGGGAGAGGCTGGACCGAAAGGACTTGGATTGCTCTGCAGCTAGCAGGGCGTTCTTCTTGGCTGCCTTCTTCAGCAGCTGCTGGAGCCGCAGGTTGTCCTTGCGGGGCTTTGGGAGCGTGGGAGGGGGGGAGAGGTGGTGGCGAGTGGGAGCAGGCTGGACGGAGGATGAGACCGTGATCAACATTGTCATCTCCTGGAAGGAAGCACAAAGCTTAGGATATACGTGGGCTCACCCCTGGGCTAACGCTTCCTGGGGTGCAAGTTGGGAATGTCTCATAGTTTTCCAAATCCCAGCTATTAATACCCTGACACGGTGCTGTGTGCAGCAGGGCAGCCATAAACTGCGTGTGTCACTTGAGGCCAAGTCAATACTGGCTTTGATTTCAGCTGGCAGAAGGGCATCCCTGCGAAAGGCAGGATTAAAAAAGCTGAGCTTATCTGGTGGGAAAGTGCCTTGTCATAACGCTAGCTCTGGCGTTTCCTTGCTGTGGCAGCCTCCTTTATTTGCACTCATTAGTCTTTAAGACAAAACCTAGTTTTTCCTTTCTGTTAAGGAGCACTGCTTCTGTCCTCCCAGTACAACACATTTTCCAGCAAAACAGAAATAGGCTGTGGTCTGGACAGGGTCTCCTTTCTAGTGGCAATCACACCTGGAACCCCTTCAGCTGAAACTGCTGCTTGTGGCAGAATGCAGAGCTGCTCTCCCAGCTCTCTGCCACCAGCTCACTGGAGCAGCACTTTGCTGCTGCTGCTGTTCCCTTTCTGCCGAGCCCTGTGCGGACTCGCTGTGCTGGGGGCAGCAAGGTAAACCTAGTCCCAGTTCTCCTCTTTCTCCTTCTCAGCAAGGCTGGGGAACACCAACCACCCAGCCTCAACTATTTGGCAGCTCCCAGAAAGAAATGTGACTCTGCCCTGGCTCTCTCTCAGTGCAGAGTTGCTGAGTTTTGCTATGAAATGAAGCATAAATCACTGAGCCCCTTAATCCCCAGTGCTGGATACAGCTGAGCATCCTGAAACAAGGAAGAGACAGGGTGATGTCAGGGCTGCCCAGAGGGGCTATTGCATGTGCTCTGCTTAGTGGGATTGCAGCCTGAGCATCAGTCCTAAGGCACAGGGTGTAGCGTGATACCACAGTGTAGAACTGCCCCTAAATAAAGCTCTCAGAGCGGAATGGATATTTGTGCTTGCACACCTGGTGTTGCCTTTGGGCTCATGGAAGCTCATCCACACTGAGCAGATGATGCATTTGCCAAAACAGTTCCTGGAGGAGGGGAAAGGAGGATGACTCTTCCAAAAAAAAAAAAAAAAAAAAGAAAGAGGGAGGGGGTGAAAGGTAAGAGAAGCACCGAAGAGGTGTCATGTGGACGAGCTGCCCTCCAAAGCAGAAGCTGTGGTGGGCATGGGCTGGGCAGCACCTAGCAAGCAGTGCTCTGCTCCCAGCTGGTGCGTTTATTTCAGCTGCAGCTATGAGAAACCTCCCAGCATTTTGGCGAGGGGGCTTGAGGGGATTTGGGCAAGCTGGGGTGACAACTGTTGAGCATTCCCAGCAGCTTATCAACTTCATGCCTTAGGCACAAGGCTGGGATTAGGATCTGCACTGTTTCCAAGAGCTGCTCCTGGAAACAAGTGTGTGATGGCCCCAAAAAAGGCTGAGAGCCCACTCCATCATATACCTTCTCTTTTCCCCAGCGCTGTAGGTATTATGTGTGTGTTTTTCTGGGTCAGAAAGCCAAAAAGCCTCAGTTGGAGGGGTTGTACTTGCTGTTCAATGCTGTTCTGGTTCTGTTTGCACAGGAATTGGAAACTGCTTGGGTCATTATTATCTGCTGCAGTATGAACTAGTACACTTGTCTGATGTTAGGATGGATTGTGGAATGATTTCATCCATCCCAGGTTAATGTGGTCCCATGAACAGCATACCTTACAAGATGATCTGTGGTCTAGCAGCATTGCTAAGCCAGAATTTTAAGGTTGAACTGCTCAGGCTTGCTGTGTTGTGAATACTAAAGAGGCAGGGCAATGAACTTCCCAATGACTGATCAGCTCTGAGTGCTCTAGTCCTATGGACTACTGCATCCCAGAAAAATGTGGCTTCTCACATGGGTAAAAGGGCAAGATCTGGGTCTTGCTGCAAACTGTGCCAGATCCTAGAGAGGAAGGCATGGGGGGTGGGGTGTGTGTGTATAAATTCAGGTATAGTGCACATGCACCAAGAAAACTCTTCTAACAGAAGTTAGGCTGGCTTGTGCCCTGTGACCTCAGGATCTGTAGTCTCTGCTCTTAAGATCACTCTTGCTTCTGTCTCAGCATCCCTCTAGCTTGGCACCTGCTGTGCTGTGGGTATTAGAGAGCCCTAATGGTTGATGAGGTCTATGGCATGTCTGTGTGTTTGGATAGAGACGCAGCGAGATGTGATGAGGCAGCAGAAGGAAGCCAGCTCTTAATTTGTTTGCCTCCCCTGTCATGCTTGGCTTTGTCTGAGTCTCCTTCAGAGCTTTGTGCGCTAGGGAGAAATCCTGCAACCAGCAAGGCTTGTGAGCGGCTTCCCCCTGGCTGCACAATGAAGCAAATGCGAAAGGAAAGACAGCTTTGCTTGCTTGCCAGTAGGAAGGCCAGAGCTTAAAACCTGGGGACGGAGGGGAAACATACTGCTTGGGTGGGCTTGTGATGAGCTGGAAAGAAACATAGCTGGAAACTGAGTCGAGAAGCTTTTAAGGGGTTAATCTGGTCTGCTCTTGGTCGACCACCCCTGGACCCCAACCTGGGACCAGAAGGGAGTGTCTCGGTGTGGAGGAGCCATCCATCACTGGCAGACAAGGCATTAGTGTGCCGGGTCCCTCGGCAGCGCCAGCTGTCCCACATGGAGCAGACCGGGAGCTGCAGGAACCCGATACGGCCACAGATGGTCCTGGGCAGAGCTGCGGCTGCCGGGGGCTGCAGGAACGTGCTCTGTGCTCCAGTGGCTTTGGGCTTGGAAGGGAACCTGCTAATGGCCTCCTGGGGTGGAGGAGGCTGGTGGGAGTGTGCCCTTCCCTCTGCCTGGGCAGTCGTGACCTCTGCTGGGCGTCAGCTGGGGCAGCCAAGCCCTGGATGCAGGGATGCTCAGGGCTGCAGCTCCACCACCCTGCTCAGCTCCTGCCCTGCCACGTAGTACAGCTGGCTGCCCTGCAGTGCAAAAGCTCTTATGGGTAGCAAAGTGGTTTGCAGGGCTCTGAAAACAAGTGGGAGAAAGCCACCTTTAATTGCTAGACAAAACAGCCCTGCCACAAGCATGCTTAAACTTTTTGTTCTCTTGTTTTACAGCTGAGCTTGGTCCTGGCTCGATGCAATCCTCAATGCCACTATTTCCTCTGCTCCACAGAAGATAATGAAAGGATGTTTCTCTTCTCCTCCTGCCTGATGTCAGTCTGCCTCAGTACAGCCTGACTCTCCTTTTGGGGTGTGAGCAATGCCCTGTGCTGCCTCCGTCTGGATGCAAGGAACGAGATCAGCTGGCAAAACCAATCCCTGTTTTAACCTCCTATGTGACTCTTTGGCTTTTTTTATTATTATTATTGTTAAATCTGTCTCCCCTATGGAGAAGGAAGGCTGTGGCTCTGCTCCCTCCTTTCTCAAGTGATGGAAGAGGAGGAGCTGCTGTCCTGCCCAGCCAGCAAGGCTTCTGCTGCATGGTGAACCACTTCTGACTCTTGGTGGCTGGCTGGGTGCTGGGAGAGAGGGGGGAACTCACGAGAAACCCAGTGAGAACTGGTGCGTGAAAGGCTTGTGATGGGCAGGAACCCCATGTCACCCCATGGGTGAAACTTTCCCCTGTTTACAGCACAGCCTCTGCAACATCTGCTTCAAGCATCTTCCATCTCTGTGTGTATGTCAAATTATATTTGACTTAATCCTGGTTTTTGATAATCCCGTTTTTTGATCGTCCTTTAATCACAGTCAAGTAGCCGTGCTGCAGTGTTCCTGCCACTTCTCCACCTTGACAGTGGCAGCACCAGCTTTGTCTCAAAAAGCTGAGCCTTCTCTCCATGTCTGTCATGGATGTGAGGTCTCCTTGTCCAGGTGAGGAGTGCTGGTTGCTGGCATCATCTCCCTTCTCTCAGGAAGGGATTTGCTTGAGCCCCCAAGCTAGCGAACAAAAAATTGAAATCTCTTCTGAATGTAAAAGGTGTTGGGCACACTGACAACTTGCATGCTGTGCTCCTGTGGAAGGGCAGGAGATATGGGAAATGGCAGCTTCTCTTATGCTGGGGGCCACCAAGGTGAAATGGCATCCTCGTGAGTTGTTGGCAGAGGTCAGGGCTTGCTGTAGACATGGGGAAAATGAGCCCCTGAAGTGTGGCACTCTGATTTCCAGGCCTCAACTCTGTAAGCCAGCTCCTGAGCTCTCCCATGTCTTCATACATGGTGTTAGCACACCCCTGACCCTTTCTTTAAAGTCTTATTCCTGTCCTCTTCTCACAAAGGCTCTCAACATAATTTTGCAATTTGCTTCTGCCCTCCTGGAGGAAGGGCAGCCTCTCTCTCCTCCTGCATCAGTTTGCTTTCTGCTTAAATTTATGGCATGTCCTGGATTACTTTTTTTTGTAAGCATTTAATAAAATTTGAGGAAGATGTTGTAACAATGCTAACTCCGAGGATTTTGTTGATGTAGGAATTCCTGCAGCAAAGCTGGTCTCAAAACCCCTGCAACTCCCTTCCTGAGCAGAAATTGGAGGAAAAGAGACATCAGGCTGAGTGACAAGATGAAATGAGCTTGATACATGCTGGAAAAACATGCTTTTCCTGGGCCTGCTCTGTTTAAGAGATTCTTACCTTGCTGTTTTCCCAGTTACTGGGGGGGATGACTTAGGATGGGATGAGTGGTGTTTGGGTGAGAGGTGGAGTGGCATGCAGAAGGCTTTCCAGAGCCATCAGCAAGGAGAAGCAGAAAGCTCAGCTGCCCAGCTAATAGACCTGAGAAATCAGGCTTCAGCCAAAGTCACTGGAGAAGTCAGCTATAAAAATCCCCTGCAGCCTGCTCACACAGCTGAGATGAGGCCGATGTAGCTGTCTGCGTGGGCGCCCAGCCCTTCAGTGAGCTGCCTGCCCTGTCTGCAACCGTCTAATGAAAAACCTCTTATGGAGGTGACCTTGTAGGTAATAGCACTTCTGTCATGTACGGACAGCGCCTAGCCTGCACTACCCTTGTTTTCTAAAAATGTTCAGAGTAGGAGTCCTCTGATTTCACTTTATTTTTTTTGTCTGTACAAGAAAGCCTTCCTGTTGTCACCTTGTTGCCTACTGATATCCCTCAGCCCCCTCTGTCCTCTGCTTCAGCTCCTCAGGGAGGCAGAAATTTGAGGAGCCACGGCCAGCGTCTGGCCACATCTTTGTTCCTTCCACACATCCTCTGCTGAGCTGTGACTTCCAAGTGAGGCCAGAGCAGTAGCAGTGTGGTGTATGAAGATGTCCCCGCCTGAGGTGAAAGCCACCCTGTGGGGGTGCAAAGGGCTCACAGCATTTTGTTTTGACTCCATCCTGCAGCTGGCAGGAGGGAAGAACAGCCACAAACTGAGATTCTCCTGCCAGCGTGGGGAGTGTGGAAAAGCCCTGGAGTGTGCTTGTATGAGATAGCTCTGAAATGAAGCTGCAGTAGCATGCTACTTGTCTTGTTCTGTAGCAGGCTTTAGGGCTGCTTTTTTTTTCAGTTTGCTTTACCAGATAATTCTATGTGAGAGATGGGATTGAAAAGCACTGCCCATAACCATTGCAATGCCTATTTCCTGCAGCGTTTGAACTCAGGGAAAGCTTAGCTGATGGAAAACCGGAGTCTCTTCTGGCTGTAATGTCTTCATTGTGCTTGTCCTGCCTCAAAACCAGGGGCTTGACTACTTCTGCTTCTCTTTCCAGGTATAAGATAAGTATAGGCCTGTTTTATGACTGTCCTTATGAGTATATGCTGGCTAATTAACAGATCTCTGCTCACTGCTTGCTTGCAGCTCCCAGTGAGGTGCTGGACACCAGGGTCTAATGTTTCCTTGAAATGTGCCTGCTCTCTGAAGGAAAGGTCAGGGTCTGAGGCACCTGGGCCTGAATGTCAGAGCTTCGCCTCCCACTACCACCTCAGGGAAGGGAAATAAACAAGCCTGAAGAGCAGGGCATCTATAAATAATGAGATGGCAGCTGATCGGCTGCAGAACAAGACTCTGAGGTGGCTTATTCCTACCTCTTGACAGCTCAACACACTTTCCCTAATGCCTTTATTTTTTTTTAAAGTAAATAAAGAATGGATCTGACAGTAACAACAACAACAAAAAAAAAGATTTAGCACTTGCTTAAAAATGATGGACCTCTTACAAGGATCCTGATGATGGTAACAAGACAGACCATGGGTGATTTCCTTGGGGTTTTTGCATTGGGTCTCCAGAGGGTTGTGGTGGTGGTGGAGTAGTTTGTTTTAGATCATAAATTTCAGGAAGGTGCTTAATCTCTTCATTACTTGAAGTGACAGTGGTTTAGTGATGCTAATGACATGCACTTTTTGTCCTTCAAAGAAGGACTTGGGGCTTTCAGGAGTGAGGGGAAGAACAGAGGGAGGCTGGAAATACCTCAGGGGAAAACTTAATTGGGATTTCTGTGAGTAAGCACTTTAAAGCATGAAAGCAGCAGAGTGTGAGTGTAATTACTGAACTAAAGGTGCTTGGCTGGGCTAGGAGCCTCACTCACCTCCTCCAGGGATGGCCCAAAACAGCAGATACTGGTCCTGGCCTTCGCCCTGCTACTTGGGCCTCATCCTTGCTATCAGGCTGCCTCCTCCACTGAGGGGTAAATAGCCTGAAACCAAGAGCCTAGATACGTCTCAAATTGCCCAGCCTCTTTCTTTACCTTTAGAAAGACATCTAGCCTGGCTTTAGGGCATGCATGGACGATCTACTGAATCCCACGGGTGTCCAAGGCAGACAGAGCGAGCACACCTCTCAGAGCAAACAGCTGAGTGAGTGATGGAGCAACAAACTACTGCAAAAATTGGGAATCAACATCAAGTGAGGAGAGATGAAACTCGGTACTTACCGATGTGTAACTTTTTTCCATCTGCAATCACTTGCATGTTGGGTGCCTCATGTTTGGTGTACAGGACTAGCAGGTCATCGTTCCTTCAAGATCATTTCAGGTGCTGTTGTCTTGTGATTTTCAGAGCCCTGCAAGTTCAAAACATCATATGGAAAAGAGTATTTACAGTAGCCAATAAATACAGGAGGTTTCTCAAAAATAAAATGAGTCCTTTTTGAAAGCATGAAAGATTCCATTGCCTAAAATAAGAGTGAAGATGGGCTATCGAGTAACACCATTGCATGCTTCCAGCTTTGGATCTGCAAAGTTTGGCATCTGAGGCACCAGAGAAGTGAAGGGCAGATGATGGTGAGGGTGCCAGGATAGATATTCTAGCAGGATAGCTCCAGGCAGTGAAACCAGTTGGAGGTTTTTCAAGTTTGCTGGTCAGATTTACAGTTTTGAAAAAGTCAGGGTTGCAAAATGCAAATTTTGAAGCTGTGCTTTGATTGTTACTGTCCCTAGAGAGGGAGAGCATGAATCGTGGCTACGTAAGCCCTTGATCCTGGCATGATTTGTGCTGTATTCAGGGGTATAAACATGGAAAGTGCAGTGCTGAGAGCAGAGGAGAAGTGGCTTGGAGTTGCTGGATTGGGCAGGTAGCAATGAATTTTGGTTGGAGGAGCAGGGGAGCTTTTCTGTCACTTGTATCAGCTGTATCCACGCAGATTTGGGGTTAAACCAGTCCTTAGGAGTCACCTTCAACCCTGACTCTTCTGCAGGTATTGAAGGTGCTTGTTGGTCAATAGGATCAAGCATCACGCAGACTGGGAAATCTGTGGCCCAGGTGGGCTCCTCTCCTGTTGGAGGTGAGCTCTCCATTTGCTTTTTCCATCTCTACCTCTCTGACGAATAGTGAAATTGTGCCTGTCTCTGCACTGACCCGTGGAAAGATTTGGGGTGGATGCTCAGTCCTGCATGCAAGTACCTTAATGCACTTAATTCCTCCTTGGCTGATGACTTTAACATCTCAAAACTGCCGCTGTCTTTTAGGAATGCTAATGACTTTGTGCATCTCTAACGCTGAAAACATTGCTGGGAAAAACAAACAAATGAGAAAACCAATAACAGCCAGAGGCAATCCAACTGGAAACTTAGGAAAACAAACAAACACAACAACAAAAAATCAACGAAAACCACTTTATGAATAAGAAAATTTAAATAGAATTTAAAAACGCCTAAGGACACATTGTACTGTGCTCTGCTACTGTCACCACTGAAACCAGACGACCCTAATAAGTGCATTCACAGCAGGCGCTGTATGAACGATGCACAAGGTTGGTTTGCATTTGCATCTGATGCTGAAGTAAGAGGTCTTTGGATCCATCCTATTTATTTTGCAAGCATGCAGAGTTTTCCCCTCTGGCAGGCTTAGAGGGGGATAAGATGGGGCAGATTCTCCTACCGATGGGGTTTGGCAGAGGGGATGGCATGCTAGTGTCCTCCATGGAAGTGTTGGTTGCATTCTTCCCTCCTGATGCAGCAGGCAAAACTGTGGTATCAGGAAGATGGATGCAGACATACATAGGTAGTTTGCTCATTAATATGAGCTTGTTTTTTGCCCTTTATTCTCCTTTTTATACCCCAGAAATATAGAAATGTCATGGAGCTACTATCTGAAGAAGGTGTTGGCAGCCTGCAGTTCCCCAGCCACCCTCCAGGATTCAGGTAGGTGAAACAATGCTGCTGCAAATACTAGTTCCATCTTCTCTTAAGGAAGGCCCTTGTTTTGTGTGAATGCTCATGAGTTCCTGTAGCCTGGAACCTCCCTCACACCACATAAAGATGCTGCCCTCATCTTTGTGCTGTCCTGACTGCTACAGCTGCTCTTCATAGATGAAAGTATCAGGTGGGATTTGGGAGCTGGCCTCTGGATCTCTGCTCTCGGCTCTGTTATCTTCCCTTTCGTTTTTACTGCAGAAACAGAACTGAAAGACTCCTCCCTGAAACACTTGGGATGGGGTTTGGGCATGGCTGTGGAAAAGGCTGGGTATTGGAGTGGATTCCTCAAGAGTCACAAGCACTGCCCCAAGGCCTTTCTGGCTAGGATAAGGGAGAGACAAGTAACCAAACAGTACTGAGGTCCCCATCCCAAACACTAAGCATGGGTGTTAGAGGAGCCCGGGGGAGCCTGGTCTTTTCTTATTCCCTCTGAGTTGTGTTTCACATTCCCCAGGATCCTGTCATCACCGGTAAAATGGCAGTGGCCTGCTGAGACTTAAATAGAGGAGGTGATTTTAAAGTTTAAGGCTATTCTGATCTCTGCTTGACCTGCTGCATGAAACAGGTTATTGGATTTTACCCAGGAACAGAAAATAATTAATTATATATATATATATATTCTGTCCTTTCTCTGAGGCTGCTTACTTAGTCTCTATCTGATCTGTCTTTTTATTGGCAGCTACTTCAATTAAATCAGAAAGAGTGTTTCATGCACACAGGGCACCTGCTGTAACCTTGAGCTGCTGATCAAAGCCCCCTGCAGAAATGCTTTCTCTAGGCTGTGAGAAAGAAGAAAGGGAGGAAACCTGGATAAGAATTTACTTTTCCTTCCCACTTCTCTGACTCCTGCTTCTCACCTGCCTTAAACCATGGTAAAAAGGTTGATAATTGCAAGTGTCACCAACTAGAAAAACAAACTTCTCACCCCTTCCCCAGTCAGCTCTACAGGTTTTCCTGGATAACTTCAAGTGCTGCAGTGTCTGTATAAGTGGGCAAGTGTGCCAGAAATGGAAAAAAAGAAAATCTTAATATTTTGGTTTGGAAATATTCAGATAGGACTTCGGGGGGGGAGGGGGGGGGGGGAACTAAACCCACCAAAGGAACGTTCTGACTGTGAATGACAGAAGCACACAAGCAAAACTCTTTTTCCTTGCAAGCAGTTTCACTTTGGGTAACAACCCATTTCAGATACACGAACGTGTCCCTGCAGGCTCCTCTGCAGCCGCAGCATGAAGGTGCAAGTGCAGAACCAGGGGTGAGCTTGGCTTGGGAAGGACCTCAGGAGATCCTCTGGCCAAGCGGGCTCAGCTTTGATACTGGATCGCCTTGCTCAGGGTCAGCAGCCGGTGAATAAGAGATTAATTTCAGGAGTTATGTCTCTCCTGTGTAACTGCCTGTTTCATAGGAAGGATGTGGCTGACTTTATTTGCAGACTCTGCAGCCCCTAATGAACGTGCAGCTGCCCATTGACCGATGCACAAGGAGCATGGGGGCCGGCAGGATTAAGGAAAGATGCACGCATTTGGCTGAGACTTGAGCCTGTCTGAGAGCTGTAAAATTATCAGGGCTAATGTGCATGCACGAGCGTGTTGAAGAGTATGAGGGGCCCTGGGGCCTCTCCCCCCTCCGAGTGCCTGGGGCTGCTGCAATAGGTCAGCCAACAGCCACAAAAGATGAGAAGGGCTGATTTCAGCTCCCGTGCAAGCGGCCCTGCTATGCTGCGTATTCCTGTGGCCTGTCTCAAGTAACCAGCCTGGGTGCTCCTACCTACCCAAAAGAAATGTGATATTTGGGTAGGTTTCTTCATGGAAATTTCTCCAGGTCTCTGTCCCAGCCTCTGGCCCCCATCCAAGGAGGAACGCTGTTTTTTTGTTTTGTCATCCAGGTGGAGATGCTGTCACCGTAAAAGCACGTTGGGCTGTGGCTTGTGGTCAGCAGGTGGACGGATTTAGTGTATTTTGAGCCCTTGGTTTGTGCCTGTGACCTGCTCTGCATGGCCTCAGTGCTGTCTCCTAGCCTGGGTGCTGTGTGGTGGGTGAGAGGAGGCTCTCCAAAGAGAGGTGCTCACTGCACCCTCACCTAGCAACATCAGTAGGTTTTGGCAGAAATGAGGCCACAGCTGGACTTGAGCAGTCATCACTCCCTTGGTGCATTGTTGCTGAGAGTAGGGAACATGAGGCAGGTGGTGGTGGTTCCTTTGCTGGCGTGGCTGCGTGGCAGCAGCTCAAAGGTGCATGTGCTTTTTGCTGCTGGTGCAGGGAGAAGATGCTCAGAGATGATGTGCAAAGTGCATATCCCGGGGCAGGAGGATCTGCAGTAAACAGAGGCAAAGCTGGCAATGGAAATGTTGAAAATGTTGTGGGCTGAGTGGAATTGGTGTATGGCATCAAGAGGTGAGTGAAGGATGAGGCGTATATGGTTGGGGTGTGTGGCTAAGGCATGAAACAAATGCTGGAGAGGGTGATGGTTACACGCTAAAGCTGATAGAGAGACCCACAAAGGGAAGAAAAGACAAAGTATTGGAGTGGGCTGTGGGGAACAAGCCTTGCTTGTGAAGCAGATGATGGCAGAGCAAAGGAAGGATACATGCATCAGACCAGCCACCTTTCGGAGGGATGACACAGGTCCCCTGCTCCAGTGGGAAGAGAGAGCCAGACCAGCTGGGACTGGAAACACAACGCCCAGCTCAGGACAGCATGGATGAGACGTGGGACATGGAGATGAGTGCTCCTGATGGAGGCAACCCGAGGACAGTACTGAGTAGCCAGGTAGGAGGCAGACACAGCATGGAGGTGCTGCATTACACCACGATGGGAATTAACCTGGAGCAACTTGTCCAGATCAAGATTGGAGCTCAGCACAGATGTGTGCATGTGGGAGCTAAGGGGATGCTGCAGGAAACAATGCTTGCATCTGATTTATTTTCTATCAGAGGTAGCAGACTGTCTCCTGCATCTCCATCCCCAGGATGCTGTGCCCCATAAAACAGGGCACTGAGACCAGATGTCTGCACCTGAGCAGTACCATGGAAAGCAAAGAGCTGCAAAAGGGCTGGCTACCTATCTGCCCATCCTGTATCAACACTTATTTTGCTCTTTGCATGGCTCTGCCAACATGTGTTGGTGTGAGGCATCTGATCTGCAGCAAGGACAACCTATGAAGGACAGACAGGTGAAGGAGGCTGGGGAAGACCTTTGCCAAACAGATTTCACGGCAAATATAAAAGGAGAAATAGGCAGGGGGCTCCCCTCTGGTACATCCCCACTCTGCAAATACAGTATTTCTTGGAGACGTGCCCAACCACTGGAGCACCGATGAAACCGAGCCAGTGGAAGATGGCAAAAATGCTGAATGATGCCCAAAATGCAGCCTGAAAGTTGCTCTGCTGGTACTTTCAGGGATCTGGGGCTGAGGAGAGAAAATGCTGTGGAGCCTGGTCTGGCCGCGTGTCCCCGGGCACCCACCCATCCAGCTCCAGGACGGTGCAAACCTGGCTGCACCATCCTCTTCCCACCCAGTGAGTAACGAGAGCATCGCCTCAAGCTGAGTTTCAGGAGGCAGGCGAGGGGGTAAGCTGCTGGCCAGCTGGGAAGCACAAGCTGCAGAAGGGGATTTTTGCTCATGCACGTTACCTGGTGCATGGGAGGCTGCAGCGCCGTGCTCCACGTCTTTACAAGCTCTTCTCTACATCCTCGCTGGGGGACCCTTTCCTGCAAGTGGCAGGGAAAGAGTGGACAGGAATCGATCTGCGACCCGGGCCAAAAATACCACCAGCCCTGCAGCTCCTAAAGGTTTCCTCCGCTCCTACAGGCTGGGAGAAAGGGGGTGCCCAAGCTGCCAGGCACACCGACGGGCACGCTCTGCAGCGCGGGACGCCTGCCAAAGGGGGACGGAGGGAGGGGACGGGGAGATGCAGCCTGCGAGGTCTGGTGAAATGGGAACTGTGATCTGCTGCGATCCTCTGCCGGCACAGCCCTGCAACTGCTGAGGGAGCCTAGAGGGGTGAAAGCCTTAGGGGCTGCTTGGCTGGAGGAGCACCGAAAGGCTACTGACCAGGTGCTGGGATGATTGGGGGTTCAGGTGCCTGGGGCTTGCCCTCTCTGGGATGTCTTTTCTTAAACAGGACTTTCTTATCACACTGGGAAAGGCTCTGAGTGTGGCTTGAGGTTGGGCACGCTGTCTCGCTGTGCTCCTGCTCTGCTCTTGCATCTTAGCTAGAGGTGGCCCCACACTGCACACAAACCCCGTGCGTTACATGCTGCTGACTTCTCACACACCATTTGGCTGCCCGTTTTAAAGAGTGTTGGGCAGCAGCAGGTCCCCAAGCTCCAGCACAACATGCAAACACAGCCGATTGCATTTTGAGAGCAGCAGGGGAGATCCCTGCCCAGCCAGGAGAGCGGAGGCAGCTGCTGTGCGTTCAGACCAGGAGAAGCAGCATGCCAGGACCATGTTTTAAGCAACACCACAGAGCTCCAGAGGCCCCACGTTTCATTTCCAAGCTGCCTTTGCCTCAGATACCCCTCTTCAAGCTTCGCTTGCCTGGTGGCAGTGTAAATATAGAAACACAAGCCCTGCAGTTTTTTTCTCCAAACATGTCCCTCCCATCTAAGCATCATCTGTGCGAGTCCTCCAGCTGCTCCTATACATGGTATGACCTTTTTTTCCCCCCTTCCCCTTGCTCCTCTCCCCTCTCAAGCCCCGCTCCCTTCCCTCCCCTGCCCATCGTGGGGTCCCAGGGCCAATCGGCTCCTCCAGCCGATCAAATGTCACTATAACTTGAGGGCTGCATCACCTTGGGACGCTCGCAGAGCCCAGCCCGTGCTGAAGGGAGCTCGGTGCTTCTCTCCTCTCCTCCCAGGTAAGCAGCAGGTTTGAATGGAGGAGGATCAAGGGGAGGGCTGGGGATTTGTGGGATCTGGGTTCCTGCACTGCTCTGAGCGTCCCCCCTGAGGACAAAGCACTTCTCCTTCTTCTATTTGGTTGGGCACCACACAAGGTTACTGTTACCTGTGGAGATTTGGATGCTGTGGACTTGCAAAGATCAGTGGTGGGGGGAAAAGATCCTTCCAAAGCCCAGGGCTGGGGATGAAGTGGTGTCTCTTGGGGTCAAGAAGGCAAACGTCGTGCTCAGGAAAACCTCTGATGGGAAAAGGGATGGCCACGGTGGGAGGGATGAGGGGCAGGGCAACCAGGCAAGGAGGTGTGGGGCTGAGAAACACCAACGCAGTCGTGGAAAATTGCCCCCCTCCCATGGGCGAAGAAGAAAACTAGGGAAGGAACCCCTCCAGGAGGAAGGGGGTGGGGGATTCATTGGGGCTATGGGATGCTCCCCACATGCGTGGCTTCAAACCCCTGTGCATTGCTGGCCTGACCCCCAGTGCGGTGACATTGAGGAGCTGTGGCGTGCTGGGGAGGCTGCAAGCGATGGCCAGGGCTGGTGGCCTGCTGGCACGGGCTAGGGAGAGGCAGGGGGTATACACCAAGCAGGCTGCTACCTCTTAGTCCACTTCTTTCTCTCAGCCAACCCCACACAGGGATCCGACAAGACCCAAAGACAGGGTTAAAGGGCACATTTTGGGGCAAAGAACTGACATTTTGCTTCGTGTTGGTGGAGCGTGCGGTGGCAGTTGAATCCCACTACCCCACTGCAACAAGAAACACTTTCTGCTGGAGAATACCGAGCAGTTCAGAAACAGAGGGAGGAGGCAGAGGGATGGAAGAAATATGCCTTTATATAAATTTATATATATATTATATGTGTTGAGCTTGCAGCAGCTCCTCCTAGGAAACCATGGCTGTCTGGTGCTTTGGTGCGTGGAACACGTGCCCCTCGCCTGATCGCCACCCCTGCTGGCTCCCACTGCCTTCTTCCTCTCCACTTTCCATAGGGCTCTTGGCAGCTCCCCTCCCTTGTATGGCTGCAGAGCCCAGAGCAGGAGGGGCTGGCCGGTGGGTGGGTAATTTCCAGGGCTGGTCCCGGGGCATGAGGCAGCCCGTTCTCCCTCTGGGCGGGCGCATTCTCAGCTGCTAAGATGCTTCTTGGGGCGTGAGGGCTCTGCGCCTCCAGCCAAGGACAGAAGCCTTTGAGGTCGAAGGGGATGAGCTGACACCGTGCCCAACATGGTGGTGGCCCCTGCCTATTTGGGGTTGATGAAGAAGAGGGTATTTGCTCCCCCAGCCAAGAGGGCAAGCAATATAAGTACCACATCCCTGCCCTTGGTGGAAAGGGAAGTGAGCATCCATGGCTTTATTTCATTTCTGGATGGAACCAGCACCAGGTCTTGAGGATCTTCAGCAAATAAAATCAGAAATTAAAGAGTTTGGGGTTTTTAGCTTGAATTAAATGCAGAAAATGACCTTTGCCTTCACCTGAAGGGTGGGAGAAGGCAGGAAGCTTGGGCTGGCAATACCGTGTTTTGATTTCCTCCTGAATGGTGGGTGTTATTAACTAATTGATTTTATTACATCCTTAAACCTCAGTCAAGACCAGACGCCCTTCTTTTTTCTGGCACTGTACAAACAAAAGCCAGTTATTGCCTCAAGGTGCTAACAGCCTTAATCTCAGGCTGCGTTTGCTGCGTGTAATGCAATTTCCACCGAAAGGCAATCCTGAGCCAGCTGGAGACTTTCCATTGCCTTCAGTGAACAAAAATAAATAAATAAATAAATTGCTCTTAGTGGATTGCTTTCTTCAGCACCTCTTGGAGGCAAAAAACGGCTTTGTTTTATTTGCTGCTTTGATGACAGGATTAGCTATGTGGCCAGTGCAGGAATCGAGGAGCCGTTTTTGCTCTCGGGTGGCTTGAGGTCTTTCTGTCGCTATCTGGTTTTGCCCTTGGCTTCGAGGGACCAGCTGGCTTGTTATTGACTCACTTTATCCAGGGCTCTGAAAGCTCCTCGGGGCTGGGGTTGCTGGGTGTCAGAGATTTTGGCATTCTTGCCCAGCTCCTCCAGCAGGCGGGCAGATGCCTCGCAAAACCCCCCTCGCTTTCACCGTGCTCGGATTAACAAATATGGAAGGGCGCAGGGGAGCAGCCAACGTGACAACCCTCGGCAAGATGTCCTTAGAGCTAAATTGGAGTCTGGGTGAGCTCATTCCAATAGCTGTTAATGGCAAGCCTGATTGCCAAGGCTCCCGTTGGCTTCAGCTGCCCTGCAAAGAGCAGCACGCCCTGTGTTACGTGCCCTGCAGCGGGCAGGCGCTGGGCTCTGTGTGCTCATGGGGGGCTCTCAGGCTATTTTCTTCTCCAGCACGGAGCGGCATTATTCTTCCTGTCAGTGGGGTGAAATTGAGAGTTTAGCCCTAAGCCCTTTAAAAGTGCTCTTGTTTTGGCTTCGCCTTGGGAAGGATGAAATCTGGCTTTACAAATTGAGGGCAGAAACCACAGGAGGGTTTGGCCACTGCCCCCAGTCTCACAGATCGCGGGTTTTGGAAGGAGCCAGTAGCTGGGCATCTGGAATCTTCCCTCTGTGGGCTTCTGCCAGGACAAGCTCTGCCGTCCTGCTGCATAAAACAACGGGCTGTCAAGCTTTAGTGCTATTAGCTTGAACAGTTCTTGGAGGCTGGGATGAGGTGGCAAAGCTCTTGTACTGTTAGCCATGAGCAGACAGGGAGTGGAAGCCTTCATACTGAGGATTTGATGATCTGGATAAAGATGAGGGGAGGGAAATGAGAGGTGTTACATCCAGACAAGCAGCAGAAAGGCTTTTTGCAAAGCCTTTTGCTGCTCCCAAACAGGAATCCTGCATTTCCTCCTGCATAGGGAGGTGTGGGCGATCACAGGTACCCAGTTAAAGGCAGCCCTAGACCAAGTGTCCATGGGATCCAGACCTCATGTGTCTTAACAAGAGATCGACCTCCTGTTTGTAACATGGTCATGGCTGGCAGAACTCCCTGGGCAATGCCGAGTTACAAAAAAAGGATAAATGAGTAGCCTAAAAGCACAGCCTGTTTAGAACGTGGGTTTTCAAAACCTTGCTGGCACTAATGCGTGGTGTCCAGGGTCACTGCTGGGGAACGGAGAGGATCCCTTATAGGGCAGAGCTGGAGCCTCTGGGATTACTGCCTTCCTCTGAAATAGAAAGCCTCTGAGCTGCAGTTGTTCCTTTTGAACCTAAATCGGTCCACCTGCTCCTTCAAGACATCTCTCATATATCAGCTGAGTAATGAAGTCCTGAAAGTCACGCTTTGGGTTTCCCGGCCAGGAGGAGCCTGGCTTTCTAATTTAAGACCCGCTGCTGGTTCGGAGGAAGTTTGGGGGGCCCTTCCCCACCTCTGCCCCCCTCTCTCGGGGCAGACAAGGCTTTTAGGAGAACCGTAACCCAGTGCTGCTGCCATCTCTGAACCCATTCGAGCTCAGAAACACAAGCCAAAAAAGTGCCGCGGAGGCATTTGTCTCTGCCACGCGCTGCGAGGATGTGTTGTAATAAATACAACTGGTTGTATTGATGTGAATTGCCTCACTATGCATTTGGCCAGTTTTCATCCTGAATTAATCAGCAGACCATTGTTCATTTATTAATCAGCTGTGTAAGCCAGACGCTATTACTTAAGGTACTCAGTGACAGTTTCTGCGTGCTGACAAGTAAATAGTTATCTCTGGGTATATCTGCAGGGATTTTATTTTATTTTATTTAGCTCTGACTAATGCTTTGGAGCTGGCATCTTCCCACTTGTAGCAGCATAAAGGAAGGAAACATTTCTCTAGGGAACTTGCTTTGGCAGGGGTTTTGTCCTGATGATCTTCTGAGATCCCTTCCAGCCCCTACGATTCTGTGATTTCCCTGGTCTCGCTGGAGGGATGGAAATGTCAG